CTCTCCCCCTCTCTCTCCCCCCTCTCTCTCTCCACCTCTCTCCCTCTCTCCACCTCCAACCCACCTTTTCCCTCTTTGTTTCAACATGCCAATATTGCGTTTCCAGAATTGAGCTTCCCCAACCATTTTGAAACATAGAACAATCCAACTTAAACGGCCTGTACGCTTTGGAAACGGAACACTAAACATTCTCGGAACGTTTTCGTCACTGCGCGGAGGATCACGTGTGTCGGGAGCGGCGCTGCCCGCCCCGGCAGCAGACGTCGCGTCGGATCACTAATGTGGCCACTTAAACACGATTACGTAAAACATGAGTCGGGCGGGGAGGGGAGGCGTTGGCGGGGGTGGGGGCGCGGGGCAGGCCGAGCAGGGAGGCTGCGCGGGGGTGGAGGGGAGGGGAGGGTAGAACGCGTGGCGAGGGTGCGCCGGTGGCGCCTCGCTGGGGTGGCGTCTATAGCTGCAGCCCGCCCGTTCCATTGTCATTCAAATTTTGGCGCGCGGGCGCGTCCTGCGTGAAATTAAAACCGGTGTTCCTGTTGTGTTATTTATGGTGGTGCACAGAAGTGAGGAGTGAGGGGCCCGCGGCCGGGCTTCACCGGCAGCACTAGCAAAACCAAGTGTTCAAACACTTGACAAGCGTTGTAGTTAAACACATGCAAGTGCACAAAGGACCGCCAGTTGGACCACGTGCAAACATTTATTCAACATGTACAGTTGACTTTTTGATTCAACAGCGCCTTCACCTCAATTTACATTGTCACAAAAATAACTTGACTCTACGAAATTTTCTTGGTTATTTTTGTGTTGCGAAAACTTTGATAACAAAATACGAAACATGGAAATTTTACGAATTATAATGTAAAGTCCAAAGCTGTCACTAAAGACTGCAACATTTGTCTACATTTTGTCGAAAACCATATTATATGAGCCGAGAATTCCTGTTCGTTACGAAATATGTCACTCAATGTGTTTCGCACATTTTTGAAATATTTTCATAAATGTTTACATACGATGCATTTTGTTGTATATTTCTTTTTATTAAATCGTGAAACGCTCTACCTGTAGTTTACCAAGTTGAAAGACAAAGAAAATAGTTATCAATTTTTGAACATGTTTATGTGTGTTTCCCAGGTGAGTGGTGCCCCCGCTGGACCCACGTGCCGCTCCGTCGCCCCGCCGCCGCCCATGTCGTGCACCGACGCCGTCCGGACACCCAAGGTACTGACGACCTTTTTTGATACGTAGAGTTAGAGGCAAAAAATGAAAATAAACTTTCCAAGCTTCCTGTATATATTTACGGTCAGAAATTGACGCGAGCATGCAGTGACGACACGACACTACGATTTTGTAAAGTTGGTCGAAAGGATTTATGTGACTGTTCAGCAATGTAAGACGCGGTGTGCTGTGCAGTCGGTCAAGCATAGGGAATTTTAATCTTCCGGAAAATTATTTTTGGGAAATTCTGCAAGAATTTTTTTTTTATCTCTTGATTTTTTCCTGAAAAGAATGATTATTTTTCCGTTTCCTATGGAAGTATTCCAACTTTTCCCGTTTTTTCTGGAAAAGTTTCAAGATTTTTCCGGGAAAAAAATCGGGCTTTAAAATCCCTAGACGCGCAATGACGTCGGCCTGGCGATGGACTGTAAGTTGGAGGTGACGTCACCCCGACCAGATCGTTGCGGCGCGGCGCCCCGGAGCCGGAGGCCGGCGGCCGGAGGGGTAGGAGGTATGGGTCGTCGACCGTCGCAGCCACCTGTTGTCCTGTTGGCCGTCGCGACGCCGAGCCTCCGGCGCCACCTAGCGGCGTCGGGGCGCACCTCCAGCGGGGGGTGGCTGGCTGCACCGGGGAGGCTGTGGAGTCTCCTCTCGGCTGCACGCTGGCGATGCTCCCCGCTGCGGGTCGCTACTCCCTGCCTCATCTTCACTTCACATTATTTCCAACCAATGGAATAATTATAAACTTGAATTTTTGCTGCCGCCGATTCGGTTGCTGTTCGCTATGTACTGTTAAATTCTAGCAAAGGCATGCTTTGCAGAATTGCGAAGGATTTAGTAGATCCTTTGTGAATTCGAAGCACTAACTTAGTTGCAGCGTGTAAAGCATTTCTGGAACTGCTTCCCAATTGCAAAGCATCGCTTTGTAGTTGAAAAGTAAATGCTTCGTAGTTTCAAAGACAGAGGTTCTAACTCCTTCGCAATTCTGCAAAACATTGCTTTGCAGGAATTTAACAGTGTGCGGCGCCCCGCGGGTTCACCTGGGGTTCGGTG